GGAAATTTACATGTATTTGCTAGGAAGGTACAAAATTAAATTATAGAAAAAATTGGTAATGCAAAGTTTTGATTAATTGATGATGAAGCTCATTGATGAATCTAAAAGAGAACAAATTAAATGACTTTTGTTATTATATTTGTTTAAAAAAAAAGAGGATATGTCAAGGAATGTTTTTGATATATGATTCATGTGCTAGATTATATGGATCATTCATTCTTAAACAACAAATTTGTTCAATATGATGGAGCTAGTAATATGTACGGAGAATAGAATTGTTTACAAGCTACTTATGCAATTGAAGCTCATTAGATTGTAAATGATAAGATTGAAATTGAAAGGAGAGATTGACACATTATAAATACCTGAAGATACTAGATGGAGTTCCCATTTCAATTTAATTTGCAACATTTTTATGCATGTATATATTAAGAAACTGTTTTGTTCTTCGAAGCCTTAGTGTTAAATTATCTACTTATGTTCAACTAGGTGGTGTCATGTATGCCCCTTGAAAGATTTACAACAAAAATCTAAAGATATTTTGAATGTTTAGCTTGGTTTTTAGCACAAAATCACTAGTTCAAAAGCTAAGAGACTTTAGTTGATATGCACTTTTAGAAAAAGTCAATTCTTGTGATAGCCATGTTATTGAAACTCTTGACGTTAAGTGTTTCTTTCTACGGTATAATTTGATCTCACCATCAAAAGAATTGTTACAGTTGAATATCATTACCACAGATATATTTAATATTGTCATAGACTATTGAAAGGATTAAATAGTAGGTTTAGTGAGCAAGCAATTGAATTTCTACCATTGAGCACAATTTTAAATCCTAAAGATATATTCGTCATTTAATGCTAGAGACATTTGACTCTTCATTGTGTAAACAACAATCACATAATGTTTTTTCTTTCAACTATGAGATTTAAAAAATAAAATAAAATAAAAAAGGATGCATAATAATAAGACATAACATATTTTTTTCACTAATTAGGTGATATGACAAACACGACTTCAAAAGGGAAGATTTATTTTTAATCTTCTCTTTTTTATATATATTTTAAAACATTAACTTTAGTTTTTACCTATTTGACTTTTCTAAATTTAGTTGTTAAATCTTATATGTTTGATAAGTTTTCATTGATATTGTTAAAATAATATATTTTAAATATAAAGATATGATTAACATTGAGTATGGTTGGCAAAATATTTGAGGTGTTTATAAGTTTTTTTATTTATTAATTTATAAGTTATTTTGATTAAAATAAGTTGATTTGACACATGAGTTTATTTTTTAAGTTTATGTTATTTTTTTTAAGTTAATTGAAGTAGCTTATAGTTTATAAGCTCATAAATTTTTTTCTCTTCATTTTTTTTATCATCATTAATTTACTTGAAATTTTATATTGTCATTTTTAATTTAAAAATAATTTTACTTACATCAATCTCATTATTAAATAAATAAATATGTCATTTTACATTGATTAACTAATCAACTAATTTTACCAAATACTTTAATAATCAACTTATAAATTTTCAGCTCCTAAAATATAGCTTATACAAGATTTCAATCAATTTATAAACTAATTTTATCAAAAACACTGTTGATATTATATTTTACAGATTTCATCTCTCCATTTAGAAGAAAAAGAATGTTCTAGTTCTTACTATTTTTGAGAGGGGTGTTGCTATTATTTTGTTATGCTTTATTTTGTTTTTGCCACAGATTATTGGACACTTATGTATTGGCTGCACTTGTTGTTAATCAGAATCTCTCTTCAATATAATTATATATTTCTTTTGTTATTAAAAAATATTAATTATATTTTTTTAAGTTGTGATTTTCTTCATTGGCCCTTAGATAAAATTCCTGATTTCTTCTATGCTCGGAGATAACCAATGATTATAGCATTTATAAAGAACCACAACTTTGAATTTGAAGCAAATCATCAAAGGATGTTTGAAACAGGGAAAGCATGCAAAATGAGAAACGTTGTCTTTTGATTTATTGGACATTTTTTTTTAAAATGAGATGGTAAGATTTGGCTCCTCTTCTACATCTAGTAACCACTTTCGTGAAAAACATTTCTAAGTTTTAGTTAATTATAATTAGAGATTAATTTTTATTTTTAACCCAAGCTTATATATGAAAATTAGTATTTTCTTTTTATGAGTAAAATGCTATACAGGATGAGTTAAAATCGGTATTCAGCACTAATGTGGCAGTTGTTTTTCGCTTATCTCATCTCATACACAAATAAAAAATATTTGATTTTAATAAAAATTAATATGCAATTTAATTTACAATAATGTCTAATTTTATTTTATATCAATATATCCTCTTAACTAACACTAATATATGATTTTAATTTATAGACTTAATTAAAAAAAAACATATTCGTTAAGATCGACTTAATAATAATGCTGAGTAAGAATGATTTCTATTTAAATTTTATTACTCTATTACAAAAAAAAAAAAAGAGCTCTATGTGTACAAAAGTTGTGACATTTTTCCCCTAAATTTTTTTATGTGCCAGTGAAAATCTAACATTTTTGAATTAAAATGAATATTTTATTATGTAAAAATATTATCTTAATATGTTTAACTAATACAATAAAATATTTAATTTACAAGTAATATTTATAAATATTTTTAAAAATATTTAACTAATTAAACAAATTTTAATCATTCTTAAAAATTATACAATTCCCATACCCATAATTCCAAGCACAATTTTTTTTCTTTCTATCAAAGGCTCTTTAAAGGTTAAACATTATATGTAATCATATATTCTTAATTTGATTTACATATAAAAAAAAAACCTATTAAACTGATTTTTATACATTAATTCGGTCTTTATTAATTATTACCATTAACCTTTTTTTTGTTGGTATCCTTAATTTAATATTTATAAGTTGTAAAAATATATATAACATGTTGGTAATCTAATCATTAATGATAAAAAATAAATTATGAATACGTTATATGCATAAAGGTTAAATAAAAAAAAATACTAGCTAGAAAGTTATTCTTATTTGACAATTACACTAAAAACATTAAACGTATAACGACTAAAGTTAAAGTCATAACATTTGTATGTATAAAACTTATTTAATAAATTTTTATATAGAGAGAGAGATTAAATTAATAATTCACAACTTATATATAAAGATTAAATTAAGAAAATAAAATAAAAGTAGAAACTTGTAAGTTAGGCTTTTTGACCAAAGTGGGGTCATTGACCAAGTTATTTACGTAAATGGGGCTCTTTTGAAACTATTTACGCCTTTGGGGTTGTTTACAACAGTGTCGCTATGGGCCATAGCGACACGCATGCCACGTGGCAATTTTGTGACTCCAAAGAAGCCATGAAAGCCATATTGACGAAGTTGTTGCAGCCCATAGCGACATCAACAGCTTGAATGAAGTCGCTGTAGCCCATAGCGCCCCATATTTTAATTTTAAAAAAAATAAAAATAAAAAAATATATTAAATAAAGAAATAAATGAAAATAAGTTTATAAAATAGTAATTAAAATATATATGATAATATAAAATAAAAGAATTTAAAAAATAATATAATTAATAATTAAAACAAATTAAGTTAATAAATAAAAAAAACAAAAAAATCAGTGGCGCTATGGGCTATAGCGACACTATGTCGCTATAGGCCATAGTGACACTGTAAAAAAAAATGAATATTTAACTCGTAATAATTAAATATATATAGAGAAAAATAAATAAATTATAGAGAAAATAAAGTTATAAATAGAAAATAATATTTATTTGTTAAAAATAAATAAATAAATTTTAAAACAAATTAAGTTATTAATTTTAAAAAAAATAAAATGGTGACGCATCAGAATATTTTCATTTTCGATGAAGCAAATTCACTGCAAAAAAAATGTACAGCATCTTCAAATGTTTAATTACATATTCGTAAATAAATTAAAATTAATAAAAAACAATTTATTTAATTTTTTTTAAAAAAAATATAGTGGCGCTATGGCCTATAGCGACACAGTGTACAAAATATATTTTGACTTAAATGTACACGTGTCACAATCTGATCCATTATTACAAATTCAACGGTTTAAATGTGTTAAATTACCCTAACTTTCCCTCTACAAAGTTAGGGGATGTATTTCCCATGAGCAAGGTGCAGTGCGTCTCATTAAAAAATAATTTCAGTGAAAAGTGGGGTCTCCCATTGTATTGAGTCCAAAAGCACCGAATAGAGAGAGAGAATGTGTGGGGTCTCCATCATTCGTCTGCGTCTCATTAAAAGAAACCAAATAAATGAATAAAAAATTCTTATAAATAATTAAAATACATATTTTAAAATTACGTTTTTAAACAACCTATTTTTATTTTTTATAAATATATAATAAATAATTCATTTTTTATTTTTTAGTTACATTTAAATTATTTGTTTTTTTCTTTTTTTTTTCTTACATGGTGTCGCTATGGGCTACATCATTTCTGTTGGTCCATCCATTGTGGTGGCCCGGCCCATAGCGACACTGATGTGGCTCAGTCCAGCCCATTCTGCGCCAAAAAAAAATGCCACGTGGCAATAGTGTCGCTATGGCCCATAACGACACCGTTGTAAACAGCTCCAAAAACGTAAATAGTTTCAAAAGAGCCTCGTTTACATAAATAACTTGGTCAACGACCCCACTTTGATCAAAAAGCCCGTAAGTTACGTTACGATACATTGAAAAATGTTAGAAGACAGAAGGAGAGCAATGCGTGCAATGCAGAGTACTCCATGCTGATCAAATCCTACGTGTCACTATCAGGGAAGCCAAATTACGAAATTACCCTTTTGTGATTTAATTTTTAGTAATAAATAAAAATGTGGCCTTGGGTTCCCACCTTGTTGGTTTGTTTTGTTATGGTTCGCTTCTCTGACTCACTTTCTCGCAGCGTTTTCTGTTTCTCCCAGATTCCATCGCAAAGGTTGTTTCTTTGACTCAACACTTTCAATTTCTTCCAACTATCTCTCTCTTCATTACCCTTCTCTCTCCTCCTCTTTAAATCTTCTTTTTTCTCTCTCACTCATGCCACACTTCTGATTTTCTCTCTCTTTTTATACAAGCTCCTCAATTTTCATTTCTTCAAGGGGTAAAAAAATTATTATTATTATTTTTTTTTTATCAATTTACATGCTTTTGTTATGTTGGTATATATTTGAACTGTTTTTTGGTTCTGGGAGTTTGCATGTGCTGATTATGGCTTCTATGCATGCATGTGTTGTTCTGTTTCCATGTCAAAATTGGAAAGTTAGGTGGCTTCTTTGAGTTCTTCACAGTTTGCTTTTGGGGGGGGGGGGGGGGGT